CCAAACTTCGGAGTGTATGAGATCAAATAATACATGAGAAATATATGTGAACTTTTATTAAATGGCAATCTGTGTTGCTTTGAGTAGTCACAAGTCTCACAGGAATTTGTAGCAATTGAAAAGGTAGAGTTAATATAATAACTCATCCGGTTAAATAAGTAATTGTGGGATTTTTACAAAATTGTATGAAATTAGTTAGATAATAAATCTAATTATGTAATGTAAGTCACTTTTTAGGGGAAAAAAGGTGCAATTACGATGAATTTTTGGTAAAAGGTCAGTATTTTAGAAATTAATGGAAATTTGAGAATGAGTTAGTAGGACACTACCTCATGAGAATAGTTAATGTTAAAATCCATAATAGATGAGTAAATTTATGGATTGTGAGTAGTCACAAATTTTATGATATTAAGTTATTTGACTAGATTAAATAAGAAGGAAAGGTAAAATGGAAAGTTACCATATGTAGGCTACTTACCAAGTCAAGTGGGTGACTTAAGTCTTGCAAAATAGACACAAGAACACATCACCTCCTTCCTTCTTCCCCTCCTTGTTTGACAGCCATCGTAGGAGAAATGGGGAAAGCTTGCAGGAAACCTAACTCTTTCATATGACCACCAAATCACTTGGCTCCAAAGTCAAAACCACTTGGAATCTCGTCGTCTACAAAAACCTCTATGTAGTAACTGTCAAAAAGCCATATTGAGTGAGATATTCCACCACTCAACCTTCAAAAATTTAAGAAATTTTTGGATTTCGGAGTGCTTTGAGGGCAATGGAGCTTGAAACTTACTTCTACTAGTATCCTATGATGATCCATGGTAAATTTCCACATCCAAAACTAGTTTTCATGGATTTTCAGAATCTTAGGTTTTATGTGAATAGTACTCTGAAAATGCAAAATATTGGAGAGATTTTAATGTTGTTTCCTTGATATGTATGTTGTAGAGTTGATCACAATGACTAATTGAGAGAGGAAATTTCATTGGACTAAGATTAGGTTTCTTGGAAAATTTATGAATATGGTGATGTTTAGGACTTGAATTGGACATTGTTCATGTTGAGAGATATGTTTAGGAACGAAAATAAATGGTGAAAAATAATTGAAATATGCATTTGCACAACTTTTATGTTATTGCCGAAAATGACATGAACAAAGTGTTAAAATTCTAAGTGATGTGATGTTGGTGACTTGGAATAGGAGGAGTACCCTTTGTAAAAGATGTTGAGGAACTAAGATTAATGTCGAAAAGTAGTTGAAATAGCCATTTGTATTACTTTTGTGTTATGGCCGAAAATGAGTCATGAAAAGCATTGAACACTTGAGTATTTTTATGACTTGGATAAAGTTGTGATGTTGATGAATATGCTTGGTTGGTTGTGTAGCTTGAAGTTAATTGATTACATGATGGAGGAACAAGCATTGACCTAAGTTTTTGGTTGAAATATTGGCTCTTAAGAAATCAAGATAAGGTAATTTGGTATACAAAGTGTGATTGGTTGAGTTTCTTGTGTGACAAGAAAAATTGTCAATAAGGAAGTCTGCTTTAATGTAAACTTCTGGGGATTCCATCAAGCTCCTTTGGGAGGAATGGTTGGATGATGTGATGTATGATAGTGATAGTGAATCGTATGACGAAAATTGATTTGATATGATAACTATATGCATGGTGTGCTATATATGATTCTCTGGCCAATAGAAATGCATGATTGTGTGGGGCCTCCCATAAACAAAGCCTTGTATGGATTGTTAGGTGGTAGAATACCTAAGAATAATAATTCGTTGGGATCTCTCTTGGAAGTACCCAGTGGATATATATACTATGTAATATATAATGGGATTGAAATGCCAGTGAATATCCTGTGATGGATAAATGCATGATTATGTGGTGCTTCTCCTGGATAAAGCACCGTGTGGATTGACATGTGGTAGAATACCTAAGAGCAATAATCCGTAGGGATCTATCTTTCAAGTACCTAGTGGGTATTATATTATGTATTATATAATGGGTTTGAAATGCCCAATGGATATCCTATGATGGATATATGGATGATATGTTATTCTGTTATTATTGTATATGCACATTGAGTGAACCTATGGGTGAAGTGATCTCCAAGGACCTTTGGTTTACTAATCTTGTTACCTCACCCCATATAGGAAATACATTTCAAGTACTACTGATGATACTTGAGCATCTCAGGGCAAGAGGCCCGAGTATGCTTGTGGAAGATTCATATTTTGAGATATGTATCATGTTGATATTTATGCATAAGATTTAATGTATTATGTGTAATCTTATATTTTGTATGGCCTTCGTTATTTGAGAGACATGTATACTACGAGAGGCTTGTAATATGACATTGGATATTTAATGTATTTGGATTCTTTTGATGTAAATGTGAAGTCCAATATGTGTATGACAATGAGATATTGGTTAGAATTCTGACATACATGTGATTTGAAATGAATTATATAATGATTTGTGTATTTTATGTAAATTGGTAAATTTATTGGAATTGAGCCTATTATATAAAATCCATGGATGAATTAATTGGATAAGGCCATGAATTGGCTAGTATTATGTATAATGAATGCATTTAATTGTTAATCAGGTTCAAACTACCTTGGTGGGAATTATTCTCAATTGTTCGAAATACAGACGAGATGTCGTTCGTTTTGTGTTGACCAAAGATGGTAAGAGATCACCCCATGTATGTAGTTAGCCACCATCATTTGGGTTTGAAAGGCAGGAAGCCTCATAATTATGATTAAAGGATAAAGTTTCAATTTTGAGCATAAACAATGTTCTAATGAAAAAGGTAATGAGACGGAATGCCCTTTGGCGTTGGAAGGGCTCGGAGAGAGTGAAGATTTTCATGTGGAAATGTCTCTACCGTAGATTGCCAACTAGAGCATGGGCTGTTAAATGGTCAGATGCGAATCCAATTTGTTCTAGATGTCTTAGTGCATATGAGACGGAATTCCATGTGTTGAGAGACTGTGTAGTGGCAAAAATAGTGTGGGATAATCTGTTATCACCTAAGAGACATGCTTCTTTCTATGATTTGGATTGGGTGTTTATCTAATGTATGTAACGATAGAACAGGTCCCATTAGCTTGAATTGGGATACAATATTCCTTTTAACTTGTTGGGAGTTGTGGAATGATAGAAATGCTATTTATCATGGAAAGGAAGGTTCTGATGGAATTCTTATTGTGGGTAAGGTGAATCGTATGGCTATGGACATCGAGCAAGCTTTTGGCGATAAAGGCAATAAGAAGAAGGCTGGCATGTTAATTCAGTTGCATATTGCATAGAAGCCACCAGATCAAGGATGGATAAAATTAAATACAGATGGCGCAGCCAAAGGATCTCTAGGAGTAGCTACATGTGGGGGATTATGTAAAGGATCAGATGGTCAATGGCTGGGGGGTTTTGCTAACCATGTGGGCATTGCATCAGCTTTTATAGTGGAATTATGGGATATTCTGAAAGGCTTGGAATTTGCTTGGAGCAAAAGGTTTAGGAAACTTATAATTGAAAGTGACTCCACTTCGGTGATCACGTTGCTTACCAATAAAGGTAATGCTGTCCAAGAGTCGTATATTGTTACTCGCATTCGGACTTGGATGAATAAAGACTGGGATCTCAAGGCTCAACACATTCACCGGGAAGAAAATCAATGTGCTGATTGGCTCGCCAACCATTTGATTTGTCCCAACCAGAACTCTATGTATAAGGAGTTTAGTCATGTGCCTCCTGGGCTTAGCTGTCTATTTTTTGCTGATATTTGTGCTGTTACTAGCCTTAGGAATGTTTATATTGTTTAGTTGTTTTTGGGCTGTTAAGCCCTTTCTTTCACCAAAAAAAAGAAAGAAAAAGGTAATCACTTATTATGATTAGTTTAAATACTTTTCATATAATTGAATGTCTTAGAATAGATGGTTATACCTTGTGTAATATTTTGGGCTCAATGTATGCTAAAGGTGATATATTTAATTGGGAATAACAACTCAATGAATAATGAATAAAATAGTTATGATACATTGCAATACATAAGTAAAAGAAAAAATTAATTCACATATTTTTTTTTGGTAAGCATTAATTCACATATTTACAAAGGTAAGAAAGTGATGCATTATATATTATTGCTTCCGTTTAATTTAATAAATTTGTTGTGCTTAATACCACGAACAAAAATTTTAAGAATTCATGATTTTTACATTGCTACAAGTTTGTACGAAGATGCACTTACCTTTATCCGTGATACAAAACTGATGCTTAACAATGTGTGACTTGCAATACAATAATTGAAATATTTATCAATCTCTTTACTTTTCTTGATATGCTTTCTCTTCGTAACGAAAAACTTGAGGCGTCTCTAATGATTAGAGAATGAATGAACACGTTTCTATCCCTTTATATAAGTCATGTATCCAAAAGACGAGACTCTTCACATCTTATAGATATGACTACTCTCATCAATCAGTCAAGAAACATCTTACCAAAAGTCAATTGCCAATAATCATTTAACTCATTCATTAATTATTAAATCATATGCATTTATCACTCAGACGTGAAACATTTCTTACATATCCATCATAGGCTGTACAAATCATAAAAATTTCACATAACGCACACTTTAATAGTCGTCCCACATGTTTACAAAAAAAAAATAAAAAATAGTCCTCCCACGCTTCAGCAAAAAAACCTATTATACAATTCTCAATTGGACCATTTTTTTTATTAAAAAAATGCCCAGCCCAGTTGATTTTATCATTTCAATGTTTTATTTCTTATCACGTAATGGTTTAACTTGATCCTTCTTCTCAGCCCAATTTCGAGTCCAAATCATGGTGGGCTACCTTGATTTATTAGCCAACATAAATTCACCATGACAAGTTCAGTTTCTCCGAGTGGGAATGTAACTGTGCTGTGACAACCCAAACAAATAAAAATAAAAAAATGGATCCCTAATATCCACTCCTATATAAGACTCATACGAAAACAATAAACCCTAATTTCCCCATACCCTGTGGTAAGTGATTGTTCCCTAAACTCACAAGAGAGGCGCAATGGGACGTGTGATCCGTGCGCAGCGTAAGGGTGCAGGTTCGGTGTTCAAGTCCCACACGCACCACCGCAAGGGTCCAGCGAGGTTCCGCAGTTTGGACTTCGGTGAACGGAACGGTTACCTGAAAGGTGTGGTCACCGATGTGATCCACGACCCAGGTCGCGGTGCGCCACTTGCCAAGGTCACTTTCCGACACCCCTTCCGATACAAGAAACAGAACGAGCTCTTCGTCGCCGCCGAGGGCATCTACACTGGCCAGTTCATATACTGTGGCAAGAAAGCCACCCTCGTCGTTGGTAACGTCTTGCCCCTCCGATCCATCCCCGAAGGTGCCGTCATTTGCAACGTCGAACACCACGTCGGCGACCGTGGCGTCTTCGCTAGAGCCTCCGGCGATTACGCCATCGTCATCAGCCACAACCCTGATAACGACACCACTAGGTAACCGTTTCTGTTAGAAAATTGATTCTAGATCTGCTTTGTCTCATGTATTTAGTGATTTGAATTTTAACATTTTGATTTAAGGTTAAATGGTTGGTCTCATGTGTTTAGTGATTTAAATTTTAACATTTTGATTTAAGGTTAAATGGTTGGTCTCATGTGTTTAGTGATTTGAATTTCAACATTTTGATTTAAGGTTAAATGGTTGGTCTCATATGTTAATTTGGGTTAAATGGTTAAAGGTTATTTTAATTGTGGTGTTAAGTGTATGGTAGAGTTTAATTATCTATGTTTTCTTTTGGTACAGGATTAAGCTACCATCTGGTTCGAAGAAGATTGTGCCGAGTGATTGTAGGGCTATGATTGGGCAAGTAGCTGGTGGTGGGAGAACTGAGAAGCCTCTTCTCAAGGCTGGTAATGCTTACCACAAGTTTAGGGTGAAGAGGAATTGTTGGCCTAAGGTTCGTGGTGTTGCTATGAATCCTGTTGAGCATCCTCACGGAGGAGGTAATCACCAGCACATTGGACACGCCAGTACTGTTAGGCGTGATGCTCCTCCTGGCCAGAAGGTTGGTCTTATTGCTGCTAGGAGGACAGGGCGTCTAAGAGGACAAGCAGCTGCAACTGCTGCTAAAGCTGATAAGGCTTGAAGGGGAAATATTGTTAGGGTTATATTTTATTGTGTGTGTTTTTCAATTTTGTTTCTTTGATAGTTTGTCTGTTGAACTGTTTTGGTGCCATTTTGAGAACCATTTCCCCTCAGAAAAATATTTAGCTTTCAATAGACAGTGATTTATATTTATTTAAGTACTCTGTTCATTCCAGCAGTTTCTCTTCTTGCTGTCTGATCTGGTTGGAATGGTTAAATTGGTTATTTTGACTACTTGAATTGTGTCATACCATTTATTCATTAAATTTAACTAATATAGGCTTCTTTTGTGGTCTATTCATGGTTGCATTTCTTTGAATGGATGCAGTTCTGTTGATTTTTTATTTTTATTTTTTTTACTTTTGAATTGCATGAACTTAAACAAGTATCTTCACTATAAATATATTTATCGTATAGCTTCATGCTGGTTAAGCAATGGTAAATGACTCTTGTTTATGGTGACTCTCGGGGTGGGGGTGTTTGTTTGTCTCTGTGTTTTGAAAATTTCTATAGTATTTTTAGGAATGCAATGTTAATTGACTTTTGTTTTAGAGTTTTTAAATGTCTCATGCCATTCCTTGATTAAATTTTACTGATAGGCTTCTTTGCTAGTCTGATAATATGCATGGTTGCAATTCTATTGTCTCTAGAATTTTATTTTATTTTTAAATTATGTGAACTTAAACAAGTATCTTCACTGTAAATATATTTATCATATAGCCTCTTATTCTCAATTTATACTTCTAAAATAATTAATTTTAATTTTTTTAACTTAAATAGTTTTTAAATTTTAGTTACTTTTAATTTTAAATTATTTCCTTTCAAATATTTACATTAAATTTATTTGTTTAATGGGTTTATTTTGATTTATAATTTTAATTTAAGAGTAACAGTTTATTTTAACTTTTTTATTTATTTAATGTTTTCAATTAAATAACAGTTTATTTAATTGTTTCTTTTGATATATAAATTACAAATTCTATTTAAATAAATATTGTAAATAATTGTATGATTTTAATATTTTTTAATTTATTTTATAAGTTTTCATTTAAATTTAAAATATTTGGACAATGCATACAATATTTCTTAATGTCATAATTGACAGGATCATCCTCGCTTACAAGGCAAGTGATATTGAAAATTTATTTTATAAGTTTTCATTTAAATTTAAAATATTTGGACAATGCATACAATATTTCTCAATGTCATAATTAACAGAAGCATCCTCGCTTATAAGGCAAGAGATATTGAATAATAGATTGTAATGCTAAAATTCACTTTAAATTATGACTTGCTAACAGTGCTATATAACGTTTTTTTCTCTCTAATTTATAACATGAGAATATATTATTAGCTGAATGGATTCTTGTTTAAAAATCAATACTTCTCGAATCTCACTGTAAATATGATTTTAACATTTTAAAGTTTATGATTAAAATTTTAAATTTTTTTTTCTCTAAATTCTCAGTCTATATTTTTTTATGAAATCATATGTCATTTGTATAATATTTGGCAAAAAGTAGGATAAAAATATTGGCATTTTAATATGTTTCATCCCATAATTTGAGCTTTTTTTTTTTGGTAAAAAATTTGAGCTTATTAAATGTAGTATAATTTAATATAATTTTTACCCCGGCCCCTCTGAAAAAAGTAGAGTTGTGAGTGTAATTGTAGAATTTAGCAGTAAATAAATTTTTCAAGTCTTTTTGTATATTAAACAAATTAAAAATAATTAACTTAATAGACTTTATATTATTATTAGGTTGGGATAGCACAATATGCAAGGGTGAAATTTCATTTTCTTTTTCCTTTAAAAGGCTTTAGAAAATATAAAAAAAAAAATTAAAGATTAAAATTAGATGTGTACTTTAAAAAATAATGAACGAGTAATAATATTAACAAAAGAAATATAGGGAGCAGATTTGTATATATTAATAATAATTTATTTATGTATTTTATATTTTATAAAATTTCAATCTTTTATCAATATTATAATTTGGCATTTAAAAAATTACCATTAACTTAGATGGACAATTGTAGAGACTAAATATTAAATAATTAATTATTTTTTTAAAATAAAAATGATTTAATAAGATTCCTATAATTTCAATTTATTTATTTATCTATTTATTTACTTTTTAAAATATTTTTTTTTTTTTTTCCTCAAACGACAAATCTCGATTGTATTGTTGCGCAACGAAGCAATAAAACGACAGGTTGTTGAAGAGTGCCGCGTTCGGCCATTCGCACATCCACCTCCTAAAAACGACAACTGAAAACTTAGTTCCAACGCCTTGGTTTTCTGTCTCTTAAAACAAAACAAAACGCAGCGCCTCAACGAGTGCTGCGAATGACAAAATGGCAGTTTCTGAGAGGAACCGTTATTATCGGGTCTCAGTATTCATCGTCCTCATTGTGTCCGTCCTCGACAATGCTCTCTGCATCAGGTTTCCGGATCGGGTTTCTCAACCGGCTCGCGACCCGCCCGACCAACAGCGATTGCAGACAGCGGTCTTCGCTCTCGGAAGCTTCTGGAGATCCGAAGCGGTGTTCGGGTGCTTGCCCGGAGTTATTCGGACCACAGTTGGCTACGCCGGCGGATCTAAGCCCAACCCGGAATATAGAAGCTTAGGTGACCACGCCGAGTCCGTTCAGGTTCTCAATTTCTTTCATCTTTTTCATTTCTCGCTGAATTTGCATTCACATAATGATGCAGAGTGCTTTATTAGCACCAAGAAAGATAAAGCTTAACAATCAAATTGTGTGTGTTTTGGTGTAGTTTTGATTTTAAGGCTGGTTGATTTATTTTAAACACCTTGCCATCTCCTAAATCCTAATTATTTATGGTTATAACGATTAGTATGTAGTTACTCTATTTTTTTATCCTAGGTGTATTTTTGTAAGTTTGGTAATTATTAAAGGCTGAAATTATGATATCTCAAAGTATGACTTGAAAACATCTAAGGAATCAAAGGGAATTCAACAAGGTTCCCCAACTTTGCAAGAGGAGGAGTGAGGGTCCATTATAGGCAGCCTTATCCTTCCTTCTTACAAAGAGGTTGTTCCCACATTTCAACTTGTTACCTTCTGGACACAAAGAGCAACCTTAAGACATAGTTATCAAATGTCTGCCGAATCCCAAAACTGCGACGTGTAGTGGTAGCTAGCTGGCAATAATGAAGTCCTATGCAACAAGCATGGCGACTCAGGCAATAGTAGCGCAATAGTGTGCAAAAGCGGTGCTATTGATAATTATATCTTACCATTGTTCCAAGACTCCCCCCCCAACCCCAAGGTGTAGCTCAGTTGGTAGACGGACTGCAGCTCAAGAATAGGACTCTGGTGGCTAATGAAGTTATGGGTTCTATTTTTATTAGAAGCACGAAGCACTTTGGGGCCAGTGGTAAAAACCTTCTCATTCCAAGTCATGAAGGGATTAGTCTCATCCTACGGGGAGGAGACACCCTGAGTTTACTCAAAAAAAATAAAATAAAATAAAAGGACTCGCCCTGCATGTGCCAAACTAATGCTTGAGAAATTTTTTTGCACTTAAGAGTCTTCAAAGGCCACTTCCGGACTAGTGTCTTCTATCACTTGGTTTGAAACAGACAAACCCATATGCTTTGGAAAGTCAGGTTTTTGGAAGAATTTATGAATAGTTGGCAGTTCAAATTGTGGATGGCAATGACTGTGATATTTGTTGAGTGCTTTGGAATCATAGTCACCAACAACATGTTTTGATAAAGGTGATGTTAAATTTGGAATCGTATGTCCATAAAAAGATGGTTTAATTTGCATTTATACCATGAATAAACTAAATTCATCAATCCATGCTACATCTTAAAATCCAAATTTAACTTTATTGATTTATCAATATGTTGAGTTGAACTTGGATGATTTTATTGGATTTGCCTTTACGGTTTGCTTATACAATGCAGGTTGACTATGATCCACGGCTGATTAGTTTTAGGGAACTCCTGGATGTCTTTTGGTCGAGCCACGATCCCAGGCAAGTGTATGGCCAAGGTCCTGATGTGGGTAATCAGTATAGGTAGGATGGGCATTGATGCCAGCCATAGTTTCTGGTGATCTTCCTCCATGTCCAACCTCATGCTAAGTGCTAAGTATCATTCTTACATTGTGACAGATCTATTATTTTTGTTAATGGAACTGAAGAATCAAGAATGGCTGCTGTCAGCAAGGAACAGGAACAAACCAGGTCAAGAAGCAGCATTGTGACTACTCAAATTCTACAACTTGGAATATTTCACCCTGCAGAGCCAGAGCACCAGGTTTTGTATCCCAAAATATTGTCTATTTATAATTGGTGTTTCTAAGTAAAGCATTTTCTCCTATGTTGCACAGGTCCGGGTACAAGTATATGATACAATACCATACACAAATTCAAATTTTTTTTTTTTTTTTTTTGAAAAAACATTTAAGATACAAATATGGCAATTTATATCAAATATAATATTGTATTTATATGCATAAAAGAGGTAAAGTTAAATTTATCCACTTGTGATCACCCTTACTTGGGTCTCATGTGTTCTCTAACTCGTCTGGTGAGGATGAAAGTCTGCTATTCTGTCATTCTCTAACTTGTCACTTTTTAGAAAACTAAAACCATCTGTGTTTCTTGTGCATTTCAACAGTATGGCTATTAGGGTTTTTGAGGTCTGCAAATGCTCATTTTTCTTAAAAGAAGACACGAAGCATGAGGATTAAATTCTATTTTAAGCCACCATCGATTGATACATTCTACGTAGTTGTAAATAGTATGCAAGCACTTGTTATTAGAGATGTCAGTCTGCAAAAAATATATGCAGTTGGAAATCGAGTCTATTTTTCTTGTCATCATCTGTTAAGCAATTTTAGTAAGTTCAATTTTCTGTGGTGGGAAAAAAAAAAATTGCCCGTCAAAGTTCCATCTCTTCAAATCACTGACTGACTTTGCCTGTTCTGTTCTAAATATGCAGAAATTTGAACTCAAACAGAATACCTTCCTTCTTCAGTTAATTGGTAACCTGCCTGAAGAGGAGCTAGAGAGGTCAAGCCTGGCAACAAAATTGAATGGATTTGTAGCTGAACTTTGTCCTTCACATATCCAAAAGCATATTGATGCGAAGATCAATGAGATTATAAAAAAGGGTTGGCCCATTTTGAGGGAATTGTAGTTGGCCATAGAGGAAGCTGCTCAGATTATCATTCTTCAGCTATCGTGCTTGGCAGTACCTTTAGGTCTGTTTCAATAGCTTGTACCAGGTGCAGGGCTCGAAATATCGAAAGTGCTGCGCATATGGTTCTCGCCAATTAAACCATTGCCTTGTATTTATTGTACTTGCAATCCTACTCGAGTCTCCCTCATCCATTGAAAATGATACCCTTATTTACTTGTGGTCTCTTACATTTCCCTTTCGATATATGACGACAACAGGGAAACTAGTTATTCCAGCTTGCTATTCGTCAAGAGGAAGAAGAACTAATTACGTTCGTGCGTGTTAGACTCTTCTAATAGCATATTTTTAAGCTCTTAGATAGCAACTGAATTTTTACTTAAAATTTATTATAAGTTGTCTAGATTTTTTTTGCACCTCTTCCTTAGAAAAATAATAATTTTACATATTTTTAGATAAATCACATATATCTTCCATGAGGGATGATTCTGTTCGAGTTAGGAACATTTACATCATGGTGAGATTAGCTCTTCCAAAAGAAATTTTTTACATTCACAAAGACTTGAATTTAAATTCTTATTTAACCGGAATCAAGCATGTACCATTTGAACCAACCATCTTTGATTACTTTTACATATTTTATCTTCATAAATTATTCACATATGTTTTATGTTATAGCCCAAAGTAAAACCAAAGAACAAGCTAAAATGAGGGGTACCTTTGTAAATGATTGGACAAGCCATGACAATCATCCTGCAAAATAATAACTACTACCATCACCAGTTACACATTATAGTTTCCATTGCAAGTCTTGCCAAACACGATCAATGCTCTTCCATACAAGAGAGTCACCAGTCTTCACCATTATCTGTCTACGGTTATCACACTTCCTGCCATAGTTGCCGAGCAGGACCTTGGCCCAAAGCGCCTCTTGATTACTAATAAGTTTCCACGCAAACTTTTGACTAAAGGCTTGGTTTTGCTTTTTTGGAGGTCTCTGAGACCAAGTCCCGCAAACTGCTTCGGCTGAAACAAGGTCATGATGCCTCCCATGCTCAGAATCCTCCGATATGAAGCTGCGTTGAAATTGTTCCATCTCATTACAAATAGTCACTTGAAGAGTATTTTAGCTTTACTATAATTTCTTCTCAATAGTCTACATGAATCATTTTGAATTCATTGGTTTGTGAGGGTCAAGTATCTGTGAGTATTATTTAATATCCAGTCGTCAAATTTAAAATATTATGGTTTTATGAGGGATTTGAGCCTCATTGGTGGAGTATTTTTTTATCATGCAATTAGCTCTACACGAACGACAAACGTAAGATAAGAAAATTGTGATTTTCATTTGATCATAATTCCAGAGAGATACACACACATTTATTGTAAATGAACAAATGAATTTCAAGTTCAATTCATGAAGAGTGTATGATCTGTCCATTTTCTTTTCCTCCCTAAAAAGTAAATAAAAGAGAAATTAGGAACATGATGTAGCATAATTCTAGAGTACTCTTTGCTGATAAACTTAGAGTATTCCTCTAGGGTTAAGTGTTTCACCTAGTCAAATATCATATACTCTCTAAATAAAGGAAATACCAATTCATATAATAATTAAAACCGTATCAAATATTTACTGATAGTTTATTTATAGACGTTATTCAGATTCTAAGAAGGATAAGATAATCCAATATAGAATAAAATTCTAAATTAAATAACAAAATTAATAGCTCAATCTACATTGTTCTCCCTGGGTGGGAAGAATTTTTCTTTGAAGTGGCTAAAGGCAGATAATGATCTAAACGTGCGAGTGTAATCCAAGTTCAGCGGACCCAGAAATTTTTATAATGGTAGGCAAAAATTAAAGATTAAAGTTACAAGTATTATTAATACTAAATAGAAGGTGTTAACTATTAAAGTATTTTTAGGGAGGGGCTCACTATTAAAATTAATAGTCTATTATTATTAAAAAAATATCATATATATATATATATATATATATATATATATATATATAAATAACTATATATATATATAATAATAATAATAATAATAATAATAATAATACTTGAGAATAAAGAGAATTAAGAAAATTAGTTATGTAACTTATTAGACTCTATTCCATAGGTATAAAGGAGTATAATCTATAGAGAAACTAATGGACTTAAAGGAAATAAGGAAACTAATATCTACATATAATTATATGATTATTTAAAGATATTACAAGATAATTCTAACACTCCCCCTCAAGTTGTAGTGTATATATCATAGGCTCCAAGCTTGCTATAGATATAATCAACATGTGGACTTCTAAGAGCTTTGGTGAAGATATCTGCAAGTTGATCATTGGAATTGACAAAATATTGTCTTGATATCTTCAGATCGAATCTTTTCTCAAATAAAGTGGCAATCAATTTCAATATTCTTGGCCCTCTCACGAAAGACCGGGTTAGAGGATATGTGTAATGTAGATTGATTTTCGTAAATGAGTCTTATGAGCTGTTGTTCTCAAAGGCATAATTCCATAATCAATTCCCTTAACCAGATGAGCTCACACGTTGTAGTTCCCATTGCGCGATATTCAGTCTCAACACTTGACCTGACTACCACAGTTTGCTTCTTACTCTTCTAAGAAATCATTTTTTCTCCGAAGAGGACATAATACCCCGAAGTGGAGCATCTGTCTGAGGGAGAACCTGCCCAATCAGCATCTGAATAGCTACACACTTTAGTATGCCCTTTATTTGTGTACAATAAGCCTCTTCTTGGAGCTCTTTTGATGTATAGGAGAATCTGTCAAGGAATGGACTTGCCATACTAACTGCAAAAAAGATGCTTAGTTTTTTCACAATAAGATAATTCAACTTTCCAACCAGACTGCGATATCGACGAGATCTGACAATGGCTCCCCTATCTTGGTAAGAGCTTAACATTATGATACATGGGTGCATCGATGGGCTTACACCCCAACATATCAGTCTTCTATAAGATATCTAGGGCATACTTTCACTAACAAATGAAAATGCCCTACATGAATTGGGTCATTTCAACCCCTAAAAAAATAGCGAAGCCTGCTAAGGCCTTTGATCTAAAATTGGCTAAACAAATATTGCTTTAACTTATCAATCCCAGCTTGATCATTGCCAGTAATAATGATGTCATCACACATAGACTATGAGGTAGATGCATTGATTAGGAGAGCTATGCTGATAGAAAATAGAGGGATCAGCTTCACTTCAAGTTAAATCGAAGGCTTGAATAGTGGAACTGAAATGACTAAATCAAGCCTGAGAAGATTACTTCAGACCATATAAGGATTTACGAAGCTTGCATACCATCCTAAAAGACTCCCCTTGAGTAACAAAATCAGGTAGCTGTTCCATGTAGACTTCTTCTAGCAAATCATCGTGCAAGAAGATATTTTTGATGTCAAGCTGAAGAAAAGGCCAGAGGTGAATGACAGCAAGTGCAAAAGATAAGCGCACATAAGCCATCTTGGCAACAAGAAAGAAAGTGTCATCATTATCTAATCTGAAATCTGAGTGTATCCATTGGCCACTAAGCGAGCTTTGAAGCGGTCAACAGTTCCATCAAGACCAACTTTAACCGTGAATACATATCGATAACTGACAATAGACTTCACGAAAGGAGCAGGAAGAAGATCTCATGTTCCTTTGGAGTGAAGAGTTATCATTTTAACAATCATTATCTAGCACCAACCCGCATGAGATAGTGCTTCACATGTGGTCTTAGGAATAACAACAGAAGAAAGACTAAAAACAAAGGTAAAATGCTATTAAGACAGTCATTCATAACTCAAAAAGGCATAAAGTGGATAAGGGTTAGGAGTGGATCAAATACCTTTGTAGAGGGCAATAGGAGTAGTCTCTGGTGGAGGAGTCGAAGGGGAAGAGACGACCGTTTAAGGTGGCGAGTTAGCCGGTGTAAGGTTCGTAGTAGGGCTAACACCTACAATTGGTAAAAATGAATCAAGAAAAGGAATGGGAAGAATATGATCAACCTGTGACTGTGACACAAAAGTTTTGAAACGGGAAAAGGGATTCTGATCAAGAAAGGTGATATCTACAGACACAATATAGCGTTTAAGATCAGGAGAGTAGCGGTGGTACCCTTTTTCAAAGAGAGAGTAACCAAGAAAGAGACATCTGAAGGCTTTGGATGTTAATTTATCTTTTCCTAAAGTGAAGTCATGAACAAAGCACGTACACCCAAAATCTTATCGAGGCAGTGGATAAGGAGGTGTACTTGGAAATAAAACATTGTAGGAGACTTCATTGTTAAGCACGGAAGAGTGCATGCGATTGATGAGAAAATAGGAGGTAATATATTATCTGCTAAAAAACGGAGAGGAACATTCATATAAAGGAGAAGAGTATGCGTTGTTTTAACCACATGTCTATTTTTACGTTCGGACACTCCATATTGTTGTGCAGTGTGAGGGCAGACAGTCTCCTGTAATGTCCCTTGTTTTTCTAAGAAATTAGAGAATCCAAAAGGCATATACTCTTTAACATTACCACTTCGTAAAACCTGAATAAAAGCACCAAATTGATTATAAACCTCAACATAATATTTTTTATAAATAGAAAATAATTCAAAATGATTTTTCATTAAATAAACCCAAATGCAACGAGAAAAATCATCAATAAAAGTAACAAAATATTGAAAACCCAAGACACACATAGCTCAACTCGGACCCCAAATATCAAAATGAACAATAGAAAAGGGAGCATCAACTTTTCTATTGACTTTACTAGTAAAGAAAGAGCGAGTGTGTTTTTCTTGTTGACAGGACTGGCAATTTGAAGACTAAACATTGGACAAAAAAAGAACCATCTGTTGAATTTTGGAGAGACTTGGATGATCTAGACAAATGTGGATTAGTTTAGGAGACTCAATGAGAGAACTTGCCACTAGAGAACAAGGCACATCCAGATAGTAGAGCCTATATAACTCACGACCCTCTCCAATCGTCTTCACCGTACCCAGATCCTACACAGAGATAGTTTGGTTAGATAAGGTAATGGTGCATGAAAGAGAACATACCAATTGTCTAATAGATATCAAATTAAAGAGAATGTCAGATATATAATAAATAGAGGTTAAAGTTAAATAAGGAGCTGGACAGGCTTGCTCAATGCCACGAGCAGGGGCCTTGGTGCCATCAGTAAAGTAACAGAAGGTAGATAATTAGAATAAGTAAGTTAGATAAAGAGGTCCTTA